GCGACGCTACTAGTTTTTTTATCTTAAGAGCTATTGTTCTACTTTTTTCGCTATTTGGTTCGTTATGGTGTCGAGTACCAAGGAAGGAATTTTTTCTGTACCGCTTACAAAAAAAGTTATTGTAAAAAAAACAAAAAACCGTTTTTTACATGTTCCATAATTTTACACTTTTGCCGTTTATTAACGATCCTAGAGATCGTTTATAATTTTGCATTGCTATCTGTCGTCTGCCTGTTGGTCTGTCCGTCTGTTCCTTTGTCTGTCTGTCCATCTATCTGTCCGTGTGAACGATAACTTTGTTTAGAAATGTTCGATCGCTTTTACATCTCCGTTAGTTATGAACTGAATTGCATGAAATTCAATATGGGCATAGCTTTAACCATATAATACGCAATGCCAAAAGTTGAATCGAATCGATTCAAAATTCACAGTGCCCTTTTCGCATCTCGACCATTTATAAACCGAATTGCAAACTTTTTTATTTATGGAAGAATTTAAACGAAATTTGATACATAGGCACTTGGGATAAGGGAAAATCAAACGCCAATTTCAAAATTTGGTTTTGCGCATGCGCAGTGCCAACTTTTTTATTTATGGAAGAATTTAAGCGAAATTTGATACATAGGCACTTGGGATAAAGGAAAATCAAACGCCAATTTCAAAATTTGGTTTTGCGCATGCGCAGTGCCAACTTTTTTTATTTATGGAAGAATTTAAACGAAATTTGATACATAGGCACTTGGAATAAAGGAAAATCAAACGCCAATTTCAAAATTTGATTTTGCGCATGCGCAGTGCCAACTTTTGTATTTATGGAAGAATTTAAACGAAATTTGATACAGAAGCACTTCGAATAAAGGAAAATCAAACGCCAATTTCAAAATTTGGTTTTGCGCATGCGCAGTGCCAACTTTTTATTTATGGAAGAATTTAAACGAAATTTGATACATAGGCACTTGGGATAAAGGAAAATCAAACGCCAATTTCAAAATTTTGTTTTGCGCATGCGCAGTGCCAACTTTTTTATTTATGGAAGAATTTAAACGAAATTTGATACATAGGCACTTGGGATAAAGGAAAATCAAACGCCAATTTCAAACTTTGGTTTTGCGCATGCGCAGTGCCAACTTTTTTATTTATGGAAGAATTTAAACGAAATTTGATACATAGGCACTTGGAATAAAGGAAAATCTAGCGCCAATTTCAAAATTTTATTTTGCGCATGCGCCGTGCCAACTTTTTTATCTATGGAACTATTTAAGTGAAATTTGATACTTAGGCGCTTGGAACAAAGGAAAATCTAACATTAGTTTAAAATTTAGGTTTGCGCATGCGCAGTTCCAACTTTCTTATTTAGAAAAGCATTGAAATGAAATTCTTCGCATAAACTGAAATTGAAGTAGCACGCCAACAATGGATTGCCCATGTGCAACGCTATCTTTCATATTTGTGGGCGGATTTTTACGATTTTAACAAAAGTTGCATCTTACAAATGGGAAATGAATGCAAGTGGAAATGCGCTTTATGTAAATCGTTTACGATTACTTTTTAACTTGTTATTTTTTCCGCTGTTTTTTAATCCTACTGACCCCTCGTTCGCACGGCACATATGTACGGCAAAATGACCGAAACGTAATTTTGACCGAATGGAACGCAGTATAATCTGCTAACAAAGTCCACTATTCGTACGGATAGCTATTTTTTCATCTTTTATAGAAAAGGTCCAACTTTGAAAAAAGATTTGGGTGATTTAATCACTTTCGCAGTTCCTTTTATCAATAGCGGTTCCGCTTTAACACTTTTTAGACTTTCTATGAAAATTAAATTCATTTAAGCACGTAAATAACAAATAGGTAATTTGGTCAATAATGATCATAGTAAATACCCAGCAACGAATTTATTGCGATAAATCTTTATTGAATATAAAACATTAGGGATACGTCTCACAACAACAGTGAAGGGACTCATAAGTATCAGGAAAAGATGATTTTAAAAAATAGACAAAGAAATGTTATACTTTTATATAAAATATACAAATATTTACAATAAGAAAAAATACTTTATTAAATAATTAATGCATAGTGTTGCACCTCCCCCTCAACTCATGTAAATTGTTCTCAGGTCTTGTTCTCTACTTCTTCGTGGATCTACCAATTCCGGGATTAGCGAGTTGTAATAAAAGTCAGACAACTTCTCCGCCATTTTGGTAGTCCAAAAAACGTCATCTCTACAAAAACAAATTAACATATCTTTTCACAGAAAAAATGCGAATTATTTATTACCTTTCGATTTGTTCCACATGTCCTCTGGTGTATACTATGAAGTAACAAATATTTCTATTTGTTATGTGCAGTTGCCCTTGTACTTGATAGTAATAGCTATGGGTTTTTTTCAAACACCATGTGTCACCTGGTTCCAATTTAATTAGGGTCATTATGTAAGGTTGAAAACTCTTCTTCCTTATAAATGTTTGTATGTTTCTTATGCCTGCCTAAACTGTTCATCCGATTGCGATGAAACTTTGGAAAATGGTTGAACGTATGCTTCCTAAGGTTTCACATATATTAAAATGCTTCCCAAATTCTCAACCAAACGGGAAAAACGGAATTTTTCTGGGAATGGGGTACGAGCGCGTGAAAAAGTGTTCGAAATTCTCACGGGACTACTGTAATACTAATTACTATACTACATTTTATTTTGCATTTTTGGATATTACAATTAAATTATGTGAATAGTAAGTTAGAATGTTATTATTCTGACATTGCAAAATAAAAACCTAATACGTTATGCGGGACAGTATGTTTACTCTCGCGTTCCTGCGGCCGACATTCAATAGTAACGGATACCCCATTACGCAATCATAATTATCTATCGACCATATTTACTGTGTTCTATTTTTTAAATACGTTTATCTCTGAGATAACAGCGTGGAAACGAAAAGTTTGATTTTTTGACATGTGATCATATGTTACTACCCATGTAATATAAATTTTAGATCTTTTTGCGTAGAATCCTGTGGCTTAATCAAATTTTTGGACCACCGTTTCTGAGATTTGACCCAAAATAGGTATCTTTTAAATGGAACGCCCTATATCTATAACATAATTTTTTTTTCATTCTTTATCCTGATTACAATTATGTATCAGCATTATTGACTGGTATAGTTTGCCTTAGTTACCATGGATATAATAAAAAAACCATAATCTCTACTTAATCTGCTATTTGTATTTCAAACAATAAAAACTTACGTTTTTAATCATTTTCATGGGTAAAATTGAAAAATTTATATAGGTTGTGATACATCAGTGTAATTAGGACAAAGAAACCAAACAACTGATTTTATGAAACATACGGTGTTTACCAACTTCGGATCAAATCTCAGAGTGGTCCAAAACTTTTTTTTACTAGTCCACTAGATTCTACGTAAAAATATCTAAAACTGACAGTTATTATTACCTTTCTTCTATTTTGCATGGGTAGCAAGATATGATAACATCAAAAACCTAAAACTTTCGCTTTCCTCCTGTATATCAACAAACGTAACTAGATTGCTTCGGTTTGTGGTGTCTCAATCTAAATTGGACACCGACCAAATTTTCATATAGGTACTTTATAATAATGAGGTACCTAACCATCGGCCTAATTTACAATCGCCGGTAATAATAGTGCACCATATGCAAAATATTGCTTTAGAGAAAAATATCCATACTTGAAAAACGCAAAATCCTTTGAATAAACACTAAACAGGAAAATACGTAAACTAATAGTATTTTAATTACCATGCAATAAATAAACAAGATGAATTTATTAATATCAATAGAAAAGCTCATTAGGCAAGTGTTATTAGGCTCCTTGCATTTATAATTAAATCCATTGAAAGGTTATAAATAAAGAGACATCAAATAGAATGGGACAAATTCAATCATCTCTTTCTACTTGTAACATGCTCTTTTGAAGAGGTTAGGCAACTTTACACACTCCGTTTAGCACAACAAATTTACTTCAGAGGCGCCTTAAGGATGGCTGTATCTAGGTATTTATATATCTATGACAAAATAGTACACACAGCGACATCTCGCTATCAGTTAAAGGAACCATAACACAGAAAACATTAGGAACATATAAAGTATATTTTACTTGACAGGCTCTTCAATTCATTTACATCATCCATAGCTTTGCTAGCTATAAACACAGAAAACATTAGGAACATAAAAGTATATTTTACTTGACAGGCTCTTCAATTCATTTACATCATCCATAGCTTTGCTAGCTATAATAATGTCATCGACGTATAGTATGAGATAAGTTTCGGTTCCTCGTGCGACTTTATAGTAGAGACAGCTGTCTGCTTCCGACTGAATTAGATCATGGTCACTGGCGAACTTATTAAACTTTTTCAGCACAAAGGCGCCTGCTTCAAACCGTACAACGCTTTACGCAACTTGCAAACTTTTTCTTTTTCTGCTTTCAACCCTTTCGGTAGCTCCATAAATATTATTCGTCAAGTTCTCCATGTAGAAAAGCCGACTTGACGTCCATATGCTGACAGTAAAGATTCTTATGACTGATTACAGCAAGAAATGTCCTCAATGTTGTTAGTCTGTAAAATACGAAAGTATTCAATGAGTGCGTTTTTAAAGTGTTCCTGCTGGTCGAACACTTTTTAGTTGAACAGAATGATTCATTGGTCGAGCGTGTGTTCGAATCCCGCATTAAAAAACGACGCTTTGTGCAACTAACGTAACCTATATCCCATAGAGTAGTTTGTCTATGTTTATGCTATAACCTCAAACCGCACTCTTTTGAAATTGGTGTTGAAGTATTTTGATATTGTTTAATAATGGATATAAATGAGCAAAACGATGTGATCAATCTTGTATTGGCCCGTGGGCACGCCTTGTTTCACTGTAGCAGTAAGTCCAAGCGTTAAGAAAGTCTTTGTGCAGCATATACATATTTTTAAGGGAAATCAAAGCGGTTTCAGACTCTATTGCAAATAATCACCATTTACAACAAAAGAAGACGACGTCTTACACATAATAGAATTGAGATGTATGAAGACGTAGTACTACGATATTTACACGAAGATTTCCACTCACATTTCAGAATGTCTCGTAGTAGTATGGCTGTCTTAATTAACATTTGTGGTTTATGCAAGGCCTCCAAAAAGATTGTTGGTAGACCAGAAGTGCCTATTTCTTTACAATGTTTAATTTGTGTGTGGGTTTTAGCCAATCAAGAAAGCTATAGGTTTGTATTATGTGAATACCTTGTATAACAAAAATAGTAATCCGTTAATTGCTTCAGATCTATTGGTGATCGCTTCAATGTCTCAAAGAGCTCCATATTTCACTGCCTAATAAGAGTATGTAAAATTCTGAACAGCAAAGGTTCTGTATTTATAAAATGGCCAAAAGGAAATGATGCTATTAAAACAATAGCTGGTTTCAAGGTATTTTTTTTAGTTTCCCTACCTTAGAAGTATTAACATTTTTTCTTTGTAGAAAATAAAATCATTTCCTGGAGTGTTGGGTGCTATAGACGGGTGCCATATTAATATATGTCCACCCAAGCACAATTCTGCCACTTACATCAATAGAAAAGGCAGACCATCTATGATATTACAAGGCGTATGTGACCATAATTGTATATTTACTGACTGCTTTGTGGGATACCCGGGGTCGGTTCATGATGCCCGGGTTTTTCAACATTCTACAGTACGTGTAAAATGTAACGATGATGTACTTTTCCCACAAAGTTCACATTTATTGAGTGATTCAGCCTACCCAATACCCACATAGCACACAGGTGTACTATGTACGTACATAACACGTAATTATTAGACGTAACAAATGTACACTGTACATGGACACACGTACAATGTACTGTACATGGACGTACATTTAAAGTCCATTTGTCACAACATTGTACCTATAGTGTACGTACACTATTTACGTCCATCGTACGTACCTATTGCATGTACATTGTAGATATTATTATATACACTGTACGTACATAAGAAGTACACAATAGTGAAAACATAACGTACAATGTACATATTTTGCATCTACTATAAATACTGCATACGTGCGATTTTGATGCATATTCAAAAACACAAATAAACTTTACTGAAACAGAACGTGTTTGGGCAGCATTGCTGTTAAACACGTTCTGAATATTAAAGTTTGCTTATAGTTTTTGGCGTTACTATTCAGTTCGTTTTACTCCAACTACCCGACACGTTCCTATACTTCCAGGTGATATATGTAGGAAATTTTTTTTAATTAAAATTGTTTACTAAAAAACCCAAAAGCTTCTCGCTAGGTTGCCTGATGGAGGTACTGATGATATCTAAAACCAAGTAAAATTTTAAAGCAATAAATTTATTCAGAAATTCACAGCGCTACATAAGTATATGAAACTAAAAGGTATTTATTTCTTGGATCTTTCCAAGCACCGTCTTAACCATTTCGTAATACTGCCTTCTACATCCTTCAATGTTGCAGAAGGGAACAAGTGCATTGATGATTCTTTAAAAGAAAACAATAAACTATGGCTTCACACATAGAAATACTTACTTATTAGAAGTTCATTCAATTTGAGTTTAGTAAAAGGTTCCTTTTTGCGCCTTCCCAAAAAGCTAAATGTAGTACCACAGAAATTGTTTGTAATGAGCTTCTGTGTTGCACGAAAAACGAAATCATACGTGTCCTTCCCACCAATATGAGACACTTCTTTAACCTAGCCAAAACAAAGAAAAAGAAATATTAATTATTATGACAGTATATGATTCAACATTTTAATGTAAATATGCATGATATAGTACCAGATATGAAATACAAACTTTTTGGAAAATGACAAACCAAATATTCCACTTACGGCGCTCTCCATATGTTCTGGTGTACTTAAGTACATTTCCAAATCATTTAAATGCTCCTGCGAATCTATTGGTAGATTTGTCATAATCACAAAAAAGGATTCTGCATTATCATCAACGTTCTCTTGAGTTTGGGTACTATTCTGTGATTCCAAATTTGTTATTCTATTACTAATATCCATAAGGATGGATTGCAATATATTTTGTTTTTTAATGATTTGCTGGAGATATTCTTGAAAGTGAAACAATATAATACATTTATAATTTTACTGTAACCTTACTAATTGTTTGAGTTTCATCCTGACCATGGCCGTCACCTTTCCTTGATATTGCTTTACTACTTTGACCTTGCATTGTAGTTTCTACCATTGTATCATCTCTTGTCTGAGAGTTTTCTGTAAAAACATGAGTTAAAAAGGCATGTCATCTGCAGACAGGAAAGTAGATAGTTATGAGAAGACATATACAATGCAATTTAATGCTCACCTTTTCTTTTGTTCGGTGTATGTAATTCAGGTAAAATTAGTTCCTCACACTCCACATCTATTGATGCCGCACTGCAACTACTGTGTTGAGGTTCATCTGCGCGTCTTTCAAACGTTTCTACAAACAAAAGTGGAATAACAACATTGAAAGCAAAAAATGTAATTTTTTCCATACCTCTTATTGTCAGTTTTGGTGGTTCCGGTAATACTGACTCTTCATTTTCCTCGTCAATAGACGAAAAACTAAAGGTTTTTCTGAATATCTTCCGTTTTCGCGATGAAACAGTGGTAGCACCAGCTTCAGCACTTGACTCTAAATCTGAAGTTGTCATAGCAATCTGTGACTTTCGATTTGCTTCTTTGAATGTATCTACGTAAACAAAGGTTTAGAAATACTTGAAAAATTTTATGCAATACAATACCATATGTGGCATTCCTAAAAGGTTCACACGGAAACTCGAGCCATGTTTGGGCGTTAAATGATTCATGCTTTTCAATTGCAGTCCTGGTCAACTTATCGTTATAAGGGGGCCAATAACATTTGTCCTTATGTATCCACGATGTAGGTACAACGCACACCGAATTTTCTTTAGGGAATTTGACCACCGACCAAGTTGAGTTTAATGAATCCATATCCATAATAAACAGACAAAACTGGTGATTAATTAGCGACATTAAAGTCCAATGTCCATTATTATCCAATGTTAATCAGAATAATTACACAAATCCTCCTTTGTTAATTACTGATAATAAATTGCGCAAAAGTAGGAGGTGTAGATGGAATATTTTATTTTCCTTTTACTTCAAATAAAGTACTTCATCAAATTTGATATCTTCTGATAAAGAATGGACGAATTAAGCAACACTCGTCATTAATTCTTAGAAAATTTATATTCAGTTCTCAAATTCTGAATTAAAATAAGTATTTTTATGACAAATTTTGTATACAGTGTTGGACTCATATGGGAAACTGTTATTATTGGATTTAGGAAAAAGTTATTCTTCATAAAAAGTTCTGCATTATCTAAAACCTAAAATGCAATCATTAGATATTAATTTTTTTAAGCCGTATACGAGGTTTGTCAAAAAATATTAAAAGTACAATACAGAAAAATGTTGTAGTTATTTAAAATTGAAAGTTATATTCAAACATGCAATTACAGCTATTTAGCATGAAAATTTATAACTACAAATAATTTAATAATGTAAAACGTAAATAATCACCAAATCTTAATTTTTATGCTAAATAGCTGTAATTGCATATTTGAATAACTTTACAACATTTTTCTGTATTGTAAAAAATAAAGGTACTTTACTCTTGAGTAAGATTAATATTTTTTTACAAACCTCGTATACGGTTTAAAAAAATTAATATCTAATTGCATTTTAGGTTTTAGATAATGCAGAACTTTTTATGAAGAATAACTTTTTTTCCTGAAACCAATAATAACAAAGTTTCCCATATGAGTCCAACTTAAGTGAGCACACTGTATAAAACAAAAATTAAATGCTTCTACGCCTTCGTACCTGGGCCTTACTACATATCTATTTTTTTAAGCACAATGAATTTCTAAATAAAATTTTAATAATTTTTAAGATTACTTTCTTAAAGACTAAATATTCATTATTACACTATTCCTTTGAATGTAATAATGGTATTACCACAAACCCTTCATTATAAGGCATTTTAAAAAATTTACAGCAAATTAAATTTACATTCCACATTTCCGAGGGGTTGACCGCTGGGCAAATGTGGTGTACAGTCCCGAGGAAATGATGAGCAAATGTAGCAAATGTTGGGTAAATGTAGCGAATGTTCAGGAAATGTGGCAAATGTTAAGGAAATGTAGTAAATGATGAGGAAATGTAGCAAATGTTTAGGTAATGTGGCAAATGTTAAGGAAATGTAGAAAATAGTTTAGCAAATGTTTAAGAAATGTAGTAAATGTTTATGAAATATGACATATCAATGCGAGTATCAATGATTTGTAAATGTAAAGATAAATGTATATCAGACGCTTACAATTCGTGAAAATTATGCAAAAAAATGTGTTTTAACATTCGTTCATGTAGTGCAGTCGTAAATCATGTGCTAGAGTCCTTACCCTATACACCGAAAAAGTAATAGAATGATTGTTACATTTCGATTGCATACATTGCTTTTTTTGTTTTGAAATTTAAGAATCTCGGAGAGACTTCATTTCGAGTTCAATTGCAAAGATTATTGTTTGATACATAATCACAAATTTTTATGAATTCAATCGGATTAATAGAACAAAATTCTTATGGGAATTTTTACTTAGATTAAGTACAGTCAAGAAATACGACAAAGGCTATAACAAAATGTGACTTAATTGATTTTAAATGTTGTGATACACCTGCTCAAATTCAAAAGTTCAAAGAAAATGCCTACGGCTATGTGTAGTCCAAGCTATTTTCGAGAATAATAAGAATTGAAAAGGAAATATTGTTCTACGAATTATTTTCATTTTTATGAAGTACATAGCAACAAACATATATGTATATATGGCAACAAATAACAGTCGTAACGAGGTCGGAAATAAAGGTGGTTTATTTATGAATAGCATTTAACAGTGAGTCACCATGCCTCGCTCTATGCTGTGCATTTTTACTGCGATAGCATTTTCTTGAAGTATCAGTCTGACAATGAACTTCGTTCTTCATTCATAAAGTACCCTTATTCCCGTTTTTATCGTTGAATGCGCGGGTGGGTGTGCTCGTAAGTGTAACAAACAATGGCGGTAACAGCAAATATTGAGACAATCTCTGATTGGGGAGATACGGAGGATACATTTATCAATTCCATTGAACAAAAACTAGAAGTCCAAATTCCTCTATTCTTAAAAAATATAGTAAAAGTGTCCGGTTTAGCAAATAAAATCGGGATTAAAAATTTATCAGAGGACGATATTAATAGGCTAGAGGAGTTTGTAAAAGGCGAACTTGTCGACTTGATCGATAAAGAAGAGTATGAAAACTATTATGGGCCGTTGTTTAAGAAGAAGCCTACAAATTTTAAATTTCTTATGGGACACAGAAAGTTATTACTAGCCATGAGTGAATCACAACGTGAACTAACTACAACTACGTCTCAGCAACAAAATAAACGCAAAGTCAAACCTAGCCGAGAACCCAGCATTGCTTCGACGTGCAACAACACAAACCTTCAAATGGCTGAAAATTTATCAAAATATAGTACCAAAATAAAACAAAACATTGTGTCTTGGGTTTTGTTACTAAAAAAAGAGAGCAAAATCACAGAAGATGAAGAACGAGAATATACCACTAAAATAAAAAGCATAGAATACCAGTGTTCACCAGATGACGACGATTTTATTTGCTGTTATATCCCATGTTTCATTTGCGATGCGAAAGTAAAGGTATGCATTGCTTTTGTACGCTCGATTTTATGATTGGTATTTTATCTTAGCACTTAGAAATCAATTCCTGCATTAGATTTGTTAAAATTATTTTATGTATAAAATTTTGCTTTTGCTTAAATACGTCAGATATGTCAGAATCTATCTCAACATGTAGTTACTACATATATATCAAGTATTATCGGTATTACCCTCTGTAATATCATATGTACTAGGTAGAATAATGCACTCTGATTGACGAGAATTTCGTATACATAAAATAATAACAATTTTTAACTCTTTCCGAGACTCTTTCGATCTCATATAAAACGCTCACTTTGTAATGTCCAGATACCAATTACAGTTTTTGGATACTTTGACACAATTCCAGCGCAGCGAGGATTTTTTTAAAGTATCCTTGGAGTGTAATGTGTATCTGAACATTACTAAGGTACAGAACTATAAATATATAACTACTTGGAATACATTATCAACTTGTGCCCGGCGCCTGTTAACGTGTACTACTTCAATTTTAGGTGAAAAAACTGCCTAAGAATCACAACACCCATTGGTCTTTTTCGAATTTTTATCAACATGTTAACAAACATTTGAAAAATAAGGACTCAAATAAAGATAAATTCCAGGATAACTCTAAGCCAAAATCTAAGCGCACGATTCGCCAACCCACACTACATACATTCTGTTCTGAACCGTCTACTAGTTCTTCCTTTATACCCACCATCTCTAGAGTAGATGAGAAAATAGGTGAAGACGCACAAGAAACAAGATCAGATGTTGAAGTCGTAGTATCTGCTGTCTTATCATCAGAAGAAGAGGATGAAGATATCATTCAACCAAGAAAAAAAGCAAACAAGCAAATAATTTTATCAGACATTGAAAGCGGTACCGAACAGGATTTTCCTCGGGATTTTCAAACAGACGGAATTGTACATGAAGGGGCTTACAGTTCTGTTGAGCAATCGTTACACCAGCCCCAACAACAACCGACTTCGGTCCTTGTTGAAAACAAGTGGTTATCTCCGAAATACTCGCGCTGTGAAAGAAATCGACGTGGCCGCAAAAATTCTTTTGATGATGAAAAACAGCTGCTTATAACCAATTTTTATAAGCCACTAAAAGACATTGAGAAGGTGTTAATCGAAAATAGTCAATTAAAAGAAATAATTCAAGAACAAGCCAAAAAGTTCCGATTATTGGGTGACAAGGTTGGCGGTGCATCGTTAACGGGAGCTCCTGTGTCAATTTTTTTAAATATTATGCTTGATACAGCTGCTGCCAATGCTTCCAAAACGAAATCAAAAAACAGATTTGACGAAAGTGTAAAAAAATTCTGCTTGTACCTATTCTTAATTGGAGGGAGAATGCTATACGAGACATTATATGCAAATTTGAAAAACGTTATTCCTTCAATAACAACTTTACACCGTTCTATTACTAATTCAAATATACAAGAAGGGGAATTACGCTTTGCAGATCTGAGAAGATTTCTTGATAGTCGTGGATTGCCAAGCGTCGTGTGGATAAGCGAAGATGCGACAAAGATTACAGGGAAAATAGGATACTCTTCACACAATAACTTGGTGGTTGGATTTGTCATTCCACAGCATAATGGATTGCCACGTGAGAACTACTTCGAAGCAACTTCGGCACGAAGAATCCAACAGATCTTTGTGGAAGGAGAACGAGCTCAATATGGGTACGCAATCATGGCCCAATGTCCAATTGATAAAACCCCTTCGTTTTGTCTTAACATTTTCGGTACTAATAACAAATTCACGCATAATGATGTAATACAGCGATGGGAACAAATGAAGGTATCTGCACGTCGGTATAACATAGAACTTTTGGGTTTCTCGTCAGACGGGGACACGAGGTTGCTGAAAGCGATGCGGCTCACAACAAAACTTTCTAACCAGGTAACAGAAAAGTGGAAGTGGTTTCACATGCCATTAGATACTGGCAATATTTGCACTCAGGACACAGTTCACATCGGAACAAAATTAAAAACGCGTTTAATCAATCAAAAAGTCACGCTCGCTCTTGGAAATTTTATAGCATCATCGGATCATCTTAAAACTCTAATTGAGACTGTGTCTAAAGATAAACACCTTCTGACCTTAGGAGACCTAAATTCACAAGACAAAATGAATTTCCGATCTGTTGAAAAAATTATTGCTCCTAAAGTGTCTGAACTTCTTAAAAAAAGTGTTCCAAACAGCGAAGGAACTGTTGCATATCTTAAAATACTCAGATCTGTACTTGATGCTTTTCTCAGGAAAGACCTTAGTCCTGTAAGGCGATTGCAACTGATTTGGTATGCGGTCTTTTTTCTTCGTATATGGAGGAGTTGGGTAAGAAATTCCGAGTCATACACAGTGACTGAAAATTTTATAACTCTCAATGCGTACTTGTGTATTGAAATGAATGCTCATGCCCTGATTAAGATCATCCGAAAATTTAGGGAAGAAAAACTTGATACGGATTTTGCCACTTGGCTCTTCAGCTCTCAACCATGTGAGCAAATTTTTCGCGCTACCAGATCACTCACGTCAACGTACTCTACGATAGTTAATTTTAGTTTAATGGAAATGTTGAACAGAATTAATAAAATAGAGACTATTGTAAGTATTATGAGTGATTTGCGCGATACATTTGTATTTCCACGGGAAGGGTCATCTAGAATGGGAACTGCACATAACTCGATTGGTATTGTGTTCCCTTGTGATGAAGAAATCGAGTCAGTATGTATGACAGCATTGCAAGAGGCGATAAATGATTGCAAGTTATTGGGTATATATAACGATCGAGATAACGATGATACTCAAAACCTTTGGGAACAAATTATGATATTTGACGGGAGTATTGATTCACAACCGTATAAATTACAGGATCCAGATGCATTGGATTATCATTGTGTTGACTTAAATTTGTCAGAAGAATTTTCATATGAACCGGCTACGAATGATGTGTTACGCCAATTTGTTGACCAACAGGATGATAGCGAAACAAGCGAGGATCAAGAACAAGATGATGACCATAGTGATTCCTTAATCAACTTCCAGGATTTGAATTTCGCTGACGTTCCTGTTGAAGAACCAATTCATGAAAGAAGCCCCTATGTCAAAATCAAATGCCAAAATGGTCAAATTAAAACGATAAGAAAGAAAACATTGTGTTGGTTTTTGGACGATAATGTGAAAAGGTATTTAATGTGGCAGTTAATTAGTATTGTTGTAAATTGGATATATCAGGGTTGTAAAAACAAAAGAGGAGAAATACGCATTTTTTAGTAGTAATGTCAATTATTTAATTTGTATCGTGAAAAGAAATATAAAACCCAAAAGAAAACGGGTAGTTTTCAGCAAGCTTTGTTAACATTTTATGGCGACCGTGACAGGACACCGGGTTTGAGTGTTTTGGCTACGATATTTGTGTTAAATTGACATTTTAGTGGTGCGTTCGATTTCCGCGAAAAATGGAGCAACAAAGGCGATACCGCGACGTATGTCGTGATAGCTTTATGCGGGCCACCGACAAGCTACGGGGGTTATTAACTAAAACTCCTATAGATAGTGTTGCGTTGAAGGTGGCGGTTGAAATGCTGCGGCTTAAGCATTCAACTTTACAAAAAGCCGACGATGAAATAACAACGCTGTTGATGGGTGAGGCGGCCGACAGAGACGTCCTGGGAGCCGAACAAGCTACTTGCGCAGAATTCATGGAACAGTTCCTTGAGTTACAGCAGCAGGTGAGCGACCTAACCTCCAAGCCATCGACAGCAGCCGTTCCTTCCAGTGGCATCGGTAACAATGGGGTAAATCTTTACAACATACAAGGTAGGAGATTTATTACCGAAAGATTTTAAAAAATTTGATGGGAACGTGCGTGAATGGCTCGCGTTTTGGGCACAATTTGTGAAAATTCATCATCATACAGAACTCGATGAAATCGATAAAATTAGTTACTTAATACAAGCCACAGTTGCTGGCAGCCGTGCACGGCAGGTCGTAGAAAGCTACCCTGTGATGGCCGGTAACTATTCAAAAATTATAGACTCGTTAAAATCGCGGTACGGTCGAGAGGACTTGTTAATCGAAGTTTATGTACGCGAATTGTTGAAGTTGATTATTCAGAACGCGACTTCGACGCGAGAAATTGACTTAGTATCTCTCTACGATAAATTGGAAACTCAGTTGAGAGCGCTGGAGACGCTAGGCGTAACCACCGAGAAGTGCGCAGCAATGTTATTCCCACTTATTGAGTCGTGCTTGCCAGAGGAACTTCTTAGAGTGTGGCAAAAGGGCCGCGAACGCGTCTATAGCAAATTTATCAGATGCAATTCAGCGTGAAGAGATAAAACCTGCTAGGCGTTTAGCCAATTTAATGGCCTTCCTAAAAAGAGAAGTAGAGGGCGAGGAGCGCATTGCACTCGCTGCTGAGGGTTTTGGTATCTCTTCGGGAGGGAAAGCTAGCGTACGTAAACAATCCGGGAATGACTCGTACTGTAGATTAAGTCCTACGTTTAAGAAAAAGGTGATATCGCAAAACGCTGAACCGATAGCGACAGCCGCGGGGTTAGTAGTCCAAGATGGTTTGAGCTGTGTTTTTTGCGATAAAAATCACGAAAGTACAATGTGTGTTAAAGCTCAAAATTTTTCGCTAGAACAGCGCAAAGATATAGTAAAAAAGAAAGGGGCATGTTTTCGATGCCTGCGGGGTGGTCATAGCGTCAAGAGATGCCGCGCCACCGTAAAATGCATTATTTGTAAAAAGGAGCACGTACCCTTAATGTGTTCTACATTAACGGATCTGCAAGTAGCATCAAAACCAGAAGCAAATAATGCGCATGACAAATCGAAAGCGGCTAATCTACCTGAACAAGCCAAATCTGAGGATCTCGCGAATTTCACGTCAAGCCACGTTTTTCTGCAAACTTTTAGAGTCAATATTCGACATAACGGTGGCGAACGTGACGTGCGAGTACTAATCGACAACGGATCTCAAAGATCCTATATACTAAAAAGCACCAGCGACGCGTTAGGTCTTGAAGTAAAAAGACACGCGACGATAGCGCATGGGTTGTTTGGTGGAACAACAATAGAACGTAATCATTCTTGTTACGACGTTACGTTGGTAAAGGGAGATTA